CATGGTGCTGCAGCTGAGAAAGGGCGTGCAAAATGCGTCTGCCCTGGGCACGGAGCTCGATGGCGTCCTGGGAGATGCTGCCACTGCCAGCGCCCTCAGCCATAAGACCCCGCTCGAGATCAGAGACCTCGACGAGTGCGCCACCAGGGAGGAAATCCGCACGGCGCTCTGCCAACAGCTAGGCGCGGCAAACCTGGACCTGGATACCGTGAGATCACTGCGAAAGGCGTACGCCGGTACGCAGACTGCCGTCATCGACCTACCCGACGAGCTCGCGGCCAAAGCGATCAAGCTTGGCCACCTGAGAGTTGGTTGGGTCAGCTGCCGTGTGCGTGAGCGTGCTGAGGCCTCACGGTGCTTCCGTTGTTGGGAGTTCGACCACCTTGCCGCGCGCTGCGTGGGTCCGGACCGATCGAAGCTCTGTTATCGGTGTGGACAGGACGGACACCGAGCCAAGACCTGTATAAACGCTCCGGTGTGCCTACTTTGCCACGGTCCAGATGCCAGCGGCCACGCTACCATCAGCCCTAGTTGCCCTATGGCCAAGAAATTTCTTAGCAGCCGACGATGAGGATTCTACAACTTAACCTCAACCACTGCAGGTCGGCCCAAAACCTCTTGAGCCAGACGGTGCGAGAGCTCGGCACCGACGTGGCCATCGTGTGTGACAAATACAAAAACCCTGGTCCACACTACACGTGGATAGCTGACTCCAACAAGCAAGCCGCCATCTGGGTCCGCGGAGGCCTGCCGGTGCAGGGTCACACATCGAGACCCACCCCTTCTTCACGTGGGCCCGAGTCAGCGACGTATACATTTTTAGCGTATACGCCCCTCCAAGGCTCTCCACAGCAGAATTTTCTACTCTGCTGTCCAACTTGGTGGAGGAGGCCCAGGGCAGGAGGCCCCTCATCATAGCAGGCGATTTCAACGCCTGGTCGACGGAGTGGGGCAGCAGCGAGACGAAACCTCGCGGTGTCATTCTCCTCGACGCGCTCTCTGCTCTAGACAACGTGCTGCTGAACACCGGACGCACGCCCACCTTCACCGGCCCTCAGGGCAGCTCCATCATCGACCTCTCCTTCGCTAGTGACTCGCTCATTCCCAGAGTGGTGGGGTGGCGTGTGGAGAGTGATGTCGTCACCAGCAGCGACCACCGAGCCATCACCTTCAGTCTGAGCGGGCACAGATCTCTCAGGACCTCGGCGGGCCCGAGACGCGGATGGAGCGCCCGCACGCTGGATGAGGAGACCTTCGCCGAGAGGCTGTCCGGTGACGATCCCGCACACGACGCCTGAGCACCCGGAGGACATGGCGGCTGCCCTCATCACCGCCATCACCGGAGCCTGTAGCGCGTCGATGTCCAGTGGAGGGAGCCGGCACCGTCGCCGCCATGAGCCCGTCTACTGGTGGACGGAGGAGATCGCCGCTCTCCGCCGACAGTGCCTGCGAGAGCGAAGACTCGCTCAGAGGGCACGGGGACGGGCCATGGAGGGCGCTCGTCTCGCCGATTTCGCGATCGCGAGAGGCCGACTACGCACCGCCATCGAGGACAGCAAGAGCCGTTGCTGGAGCGTCCTCTGCGATGAGGTCGACCGGGACGTGTGGGGCCGTCCATACGGGACGGTAATGTCGCGCCTGAGGGGCCCCAGGGCGACGCCCCCACGAGAGCCATCACTGGTGCGACGGACAGTCGCGGCCCTGTTCCCGACGGTGACTGAGGCGCTGATCCGGCCTGCTGCGGGACCGGTTGGAGCCGTTGTCCCCGTCGTCACTCACGAGGAGCTTCGAGGAGCCTGCGGCAGGATTCGGGATGGTGCGGCGCCCGGACCAGATGGTGTGCCAAATAGGGCACTCAAGCTTGCCGTCGCGCTGCGTCCGGACGACTTCTTGCAGGTGTACTCGGCATGCCTGAGCGGTGGTGTCTTCCCGAGCCCATGGAAGAGGCAAAGGCTCGTCCTGCTACCGAAGCCGGGCAAGCCGCCTGATGCTCCCTCATCATACCGTCCGCTGTGTATGCTCGACACAGCGGGTAAGATCCTCGAGAAGATCATATGCAATCGTCTGGAGATGTTCACGGAGGCCCCGGACGGCCTCTCGGATCACCAGCACGGATTCCGGAGAGGAAGATCGACCACCCGCGCCATTGAGTCGGTCACCGCTGCGGCTCGTGAGGCGATTGGAGGTGCGAGGGGCAGCCGCAAGTACTGCGCCGTTGTCACCCTCGATGTCCGAAACGCGTTCAACTCGGCGCGGTGGAACAACATCCTCGCCGCGCTCGAGCGAATCCGCACGCCTGAGTACTTGCAGAGGATCATATACAGCTACTTCCAGGCCAGAGTGCTGGAATATGAGACTGATGATGGCCCAGAGTCCTGTAGCATCACGACTGGCGTTCCGCAGGGCTCGGTCCTCGGCCCGATCTTGTGGAACGTAATGTACGGCATCATCTTGCGCCTGAGACTGGATGAAGGGGTACGCGTGGTCGGCTTCGCGGATGACATCGCCGTGGTCGCCGTGGCTGGGACGACATACGAGGTCGAGGATCTTCTCAGCTGCTCCATCGCAAGGGTACGTGAAGCGCTGTGGGGGCTGGGCCTCGAGACAGCAGACCATAAGACGAAGGCCCTGCTAATATCAAGGAAGAGGAGGCTGGAGACCATCACCATTGAAGTAGGCGACTGCTTCATTGCCTCCTCTCCCTGCATCCGCTATTTGGGCCTGCAACTTGACGCAAGGTTGAAATTCAACGACCACCTCAAGGCGGCCAGCGAGAAGGCTTCGAGGGTGGTAGGAGCCCTTTGCCGACCCACCCATGCCGACCATTGGTGGCCCCAGGAGCAGCCGGAGGCGGCTCTACGTCAACGTCATCGACTCAATCCTTCTCTACGGTGCCCCAATCTGGAGCCACGGTGCCGGAACACTGGTCGGCATGCTTCGGGCGGAAGCGATCCATCGGCGAGCCTGCCTACGCGTCATCAGTGGTCGCCCGCACCTCTCGTACGATGCTACCTACGTCCTTGCCAGCATACCACCGCTGGCCTTACTAGCAGACGAGCGTAGCCGGCTCTATCAGCGCCGCCATGAGGACGAGAGAGCTGAAGAACGCCAGGAGACACTGAGAAGATGGCAGAGCCGATGTGATCGCTCGACAAAAGGACGATGGACGCACAGGCTGATCCCAAACATCAGTTTGTGGATAGACAGGAGACACGGAGAGGTAGACTATCACCTTACCCAGCTCCTGACAGGCCATGGCTACTTCAAACATCACAGCCAGCGCTACGACCGCAACGCCAGCGCGGATTGCCCGGCCTGTCCCAACACGGTCGAAAACGCAGAGCACGTATTCTACCAGTGCCCGAGGTTTAGCAAAGAAAGAGAGAGACTACACTCCCTGCTCCACGAGGTCATGACGCCGGAAAACACCACCAGGCTCATGCTCGCGAGCGAGCCGAACTGGCTTGCGGTAGCCACCTTCGCCAAATCAGTCATAACAAGTCTGAGGGCCGAAGAGATGGCCAGAAGAGGATGACCGGACGATGCAGAATGAAGAAGACGCAACAACAATCAGCGCAAACGTGATGAGCTTGCTGCATCAGCCCAGCCTCTCCCCGTGAAGTAGTGCCCAACGGCGGTTCCGCGGGGGTTAAACAGGGGCAGAAGGAGAAGTGGATGGGCCACACAACACCTATATGTTTTATATCTCAGTTTGTTTCTAACTCCACCCGCCTACATAAAATATGTAAAAACGGAAACAAAAGAAAANGATGAATAAAATAAAAAAAAAAAAAAAAAAAAAAAGTCCAACGACGAACTTTCATTAAATAATCATTTGCTTACCGGCCCCAAAATGCAAGCGGATATTACGGTGATGCTGTCTAACTGGCGCTTCGCAGGCACGACCGATGTCGAGAAGATATTTCGCCAAATACGAGTTCACGAGGACGACATCGACTGGCAGCGTGTGCTTTGGAAAGCTAGCCCGACAGAGCCAATACGTGATTTTCGCTGCACGACGGTGACATACGGTACTGCGGCGGCTCCTTTCCTGGCATTGCGTTTCATGAAGCAGCTTGGAGAGGATGGACGCGAGGCTTATCCAGAGGCGTCAAGAGTGCTTCAACATCAACTATACGTTGATGACTTGTTTTTTTGCGCTGGATCGGTAGAAGAGGCATTACGCCGAATAGAAGAGCTCATCGCATTGCTCGCGTTGGCTGGTATGAGGCTGATAAAATAGGCTACATAGCACGCAATTGTCGAGGACCTCACGGACACCACGCTGGATGCCGCGGCCTTAAAAATGGACGAGACTGTGTCCACGCTTGGATTGACATGGTTGCCACGGCTGGACTATTTTACTTTTCAGTTCAGGCCTGCCCTCACTACGTCACCTGCGACTCAACGTACGGTGTTATCTGACATCACGTGGACCTTCAACCTGATGGGTTAGTTTTTTCCGGTGTTGATTGTGGCCAAGATCCTGTTGTAGGATATTTGCATCAACGGCACGGACTGGGATGCGTCGATTGCGGGGACATCGGACCAGCGGTGGACTGAGTTCTGTGCTGCTTTGGATGAAGTGTCTAGTATCAGGGTACCTCGATGGTTCAGCAACTCGGAAGCAAGCTCTTGGCATTTGCATGTGTTCACCGACTCGTCTAAGAGAGCGTGTGCTGCTGAGCTATACGCCATGATCCCGTCAGAGTCATGGCACCGCTTGACCTGGCCACATTTCCGCTCTGGTGGAATGGCCTTTCTTGGATTCTCAACGGAGAGACAACATGACCGGCGGTCATCGAGCCAGAGGGTCAGAGCGCTTAGGTAATGGTCGCGTGGCAGGCCTTGGACTGCTGATAACTTCGTTGCTCTGTCAACTAAGTTGTAAATGATGTTTATTTTTTGTTGAGCAGAGTGTCGTGAGTGATATGAGAGTAATCGAGTGGTATTGGATGGTTTTTGGTACCAATCCAAGAGCAGCTTGCCATTGGCGTTAATCAAGGACATGAGGAGGAGACTAGGAAGTTGAGCTTTTTGTCTTGTTTGACTTCGTGTGTGAACTTCAATTTTCCGTTATATGAGTTGAACACGTCTACTGTCAGCTCAATGTCCTTTTTGTTGATGCATAAGATGATGTCATCGACGTATCTGTAGTAAAACAGTGGTATACATCTGCGCTGTTTCAGTACACTCAAACAGTGCTTTTCTAAATCCTCCATCATTAAGTCTGCTGCCAATGAGGAGATGCAGCTTCCCATCGGGGTCCTGTAGGTTTGTCGGTAGAAGGTGTTATTGAATTTTAAATAGGTGTTGTTGAATAAGAAGATCATCACTTCACGGATTTTGTTGAACGATAAGTGAGACTTACAGAGGTCAGAGTAGCGTCTGTCTAGGCTTTCGAGTACCAGTTCTAGTGGTACGTTCGTGAATAGCGATACGACGTCTAATGAGACGAGCACATAATCCGTTGGTATCGAGATGTTGGCGAATTTACTCTTGAAGTCAAAGCTGTTGTCGAAGTAAGAAGCTGGTGGTTTGATGACAAGTGCCAGTTCTTCGTAAAAAATCTTAGCGAGCACATATGTTGGGCTACCCGCCAGAGTTATAATAGGACGTAGAGGAACGTCCTTCTCATGAATCTTCGGGAGGCCATATGCCCTCGCTAAAGATGTGTCACTTAGTGATAGCTGGAATATACTAAGGTTTCTGTCACACTCCTCGTTAACTTCTTTCAAGAGTATTTTCGTCCTCGTTTGTAAGCTCTCAAATGGGTCGTGGTCGATTTTCTCGCAGGTCTCGTCATCACTCAAGAGTGTCGTCATTTTTCCTGTGTAATCGTCAACCTTTATGCAAACTGTAGCGTTACCTTTGTCAGCTTTTGTAAAAAATAAATGTTGGTTGTTCCTGAGAAAAGATCGTGCCTCTTGCATTTTCATGCGTGTCTCGAAGAAAAATTTACTACAACGGTTATTGTCAACGATTGTTGGCCGATGCGGCACACGATTGGGGGCCAATTTCTCGTTGTAGGACCAAGACAAACTCCGGACCGGGGCTGGTAACTCAAGGTCCTGCCGGTGGTGGACAAGTTCAGTGATTGTGCCGGGAACACAGTCATAAAAAAAAATGTGTGCAACGGTTGTTGGCCGTGCGTTTGAAGTTTTCCAGGACTGTGCAGCGTATGTCATTCACCACATTTTTTTTTATTTCTTTTAAGTTCAAAGCGCTTATACTTGACTCGAGATTTTTAATGCTTGGACTGCTGCCTATCGGATTTGGGCCTATTTTCTAGTTTTAACAAGATGGTGAAGGTGCTGTATCACTGTCGTTGGTGGCTAGCTGTTGACGGGCGAGCAAAAGTGGAGAATGACGAAGAGGACGAGTAGAGGGAGGCCAGTTCCTATTCCTTCGTCGAGTTCAGGCGCATCACTTCGAGGACGATCTCGAAGCTGTCACCGCTGGAGATAATGACGAAAAATAAGGATACCCTGCGTGGCGGTCCGCAGCTGATGCGCTCTCATCTAGGTCGCATGTTTTGGATTTCGTACTTCCCTAGTATCGTTCACACCGTGTACCAGAACTGTATGCACTGCGTTCGTTTTTGAGCTGCGGCAATGGAGCTACTGATGGGCCCGTTGCCCGCAGTGTGAGTTACTCCAGGACGACCGTTTGGGGACATTAAAATGGATTATACCGGACCACTGCCCATACTGTTTTCCAGGGAACGCAAGGCCACGTCTACCAAAGGTTACATCACTATCTCAATTTGCATGGTGGTCTGAGACGAGGAAGACCTGCGGTGCTCTATTCGGATAATGCGACGACTTTCAAGGGAGCAGCGAGGGAGCTTCGTGAATTATTTTCAGAAAGCTCGACTCTTACCGAGCTCGTGCGCAATTTCATGCAGAAGACGGGCACGGTGTGGAAATTTATTTCCCTAGGGCGCCACACTTCGGCGGTTCGTGGGAGGTCACCGTGCGAAGCTTTAAGCATTATTTTTGACGAGTCATTGGCGATGCGAGGCTCACGTTCGAGGAGCTTTCGCCGGTGGCTGCGTGTATCGAGGCGTGCTTGAACTCACGATTTCTTTGTCTTCGCAGCAGTCAACTAGAGGATTTTGAGGCCCTTACCCCAGCTCATTTCCTGATTAGCACATCTTTGCTGGATTACCCTGAGCCTTACTACGACCGAACTCTCAGCTTCACGAATCGCTGGAGGTTGCTGCGTGGCATGCGTGACATGTTCTGGAGTCGTTGGAGGCAAGAGGTGCTCTCACAGATGCAGCAGCGGAGCAATTGGTTAACCGAGCGGAAGAGCTTCCAGCCGGGTAAAATGGTGCTGCTGAGGGACGATCTGTCCACACCCTCATCGTGGCCATTGACACGTGTGGTTCATGTGCATCCTTGACCTGATGGACTGGTCAGAGTTGCGACAATCAAGACGGCCAGTTCAGCTTTCACTCGACCAATCGTCGAACTAATCAAGCTTCCGCCGGATACTGATGCTGAGGAATATCATTGTCGTCTCAAGAAGAAAGAGAAAAAAGAATAATTTTCATTATGATTGTATCTTCATGTTTCTACTTTAAATTTTGTTATAACTTTGGATTGTATCCTTCATTTTTATTTTTTGATGTTATGTGAGTTTTAATTTACGCTGTTATGTTTATAATGATTCTTTCTAATAAATTGAATTTTTTGTATTGCCACTACAATGCGTCAACTCGGGCGGTATGTTCAGCTATTGCTTAGCCTTGGCATATGAGGCGCGGCTTTAACTTAATGGGGGAAGTACACAGGGCGAGCTGCTGAATTTCCTTTCGGCTGATCAGTCTACGATGAACAAGCTACTTTAATCGAACGAGCTAGACGTTATTTTATATCCTCTCACGAAACAAGGTGAACTAATTTTAGACAGCGCAATGATGTTCGCAGTCTTCCACACTAAGGGAAAGATACCAGTTGCAAATGATGAGTTAACCAGTAGCGCAATGCAGTTATGTATGGAAGAAGCAGCGAGTTTCACAGACTTAGCTGGAATAACGTCTGGACCAGAACTGGATGGTCTGCGTTTCCTGAGGGCTTCTACGACGTTGGGGAGTGTAACAGTTCGAAAAGAAAAGGTAGGAACTGCTTCTGGGAGCAGGTTTTGATATATCATGTCAACAAAAGAAAAGTGCAGTGGAGGCGTGGCAGATGAGTTGGATGAATAGTTGGCACAAAGTTCGTTTGGAGTAAAACTGGTTAGCGGCGATGGATTCTGACGTGGTCTGAGGCCAGCTCTTCTCAGTACCTTCCAGCAGACACTAGGAGTAGATGCAGTATCAATTTCAATGATGAGATATTGATTTTTTGCTAAAGTGAGTTTTGATTTTAAAGTTCACCTAGCGTCTTTGTACGCGCTGAAAGAGCGCAGCGAACGATTTCGTTCATATATACGATGCAATTTGTCACTTGTGTGCATTAATGCTCAAAGTTTGTTTGTTATCCAAGGTTTAGATTGCGAGGTAAATGTAACGAGTTTGGACGGTGCGAGAGGGGCAAGAGTTTTGATTATGCAATCAGTAATAGTTTCAACTTTGGAATCGGGGTGAGCAAAGCAGAGTAAAGTAGTGTCTTGTGAAAAATCAAAAGAGCATGAAGCAAAAAGCGAGTTCAATTGTGTGGTGAAAGCAACAGGGTCTATCTTGGATATATGCCGAATTGATTTACTTTGTGGTTAAAGTGGAGGAACAGTAAGACTACAATTGAATGGAATAAAGCGATGAGCAGCTGCAAATGGAGCTTCTGAGACTATGAAATTGTTTACATGGGAGGGATTGTTTGTGATGACAAAGTTGATGCAAGATTGATGTATAAAACCGTCCGAGTAAGTAAAGTGGTGGGTTGAGGCGTGACTGACAATGTGAAGATTGTGTATTTCAATCATATTAGCCAAAAAGGCAGCATGCCGATCAGCGGTTTTGGACATGTTAATATTAAAGTCACCCACAATAATTGCATGCTTTAACAATGCTAAATACTGCGATAGGCATTCAAAGAGTTCTTAAAGTGGCAGTAGGGTGAAAATATACAACCGAAAATAGCATTTTGAAATTTGTGGAAGCTAAGAGGATTGAGCAAATTCCGGAGTATTATCATAGACTGCATCTGAAGTGTGTATTACGGCCACCTTGAGGTCGGAACAGGTATATATAGTAGGGTGATTCGCTTTTGCAAAAATGTTCAAAATCGCGTATGCGTCATGACGATTCTGAAAGTTCAAGTCTTTACGAAAATAAAGCCGGGTCCAGAACCTAAAAAAAGTGTCGGGAAACGGTGTCGATCGATTTTTGAAGTTTAAAAACGTGGTCCAAAATAGGAGCAAAATCGGTCAACCATTCAATTTATTTCAAACTGTGTTTCGAGAGTAAAAATAATATCGACAATACAGTTTCTTACGTATTTTTGTCTGTAGAATCGAATGCCGTAGAATCGTATTGCTCTTAGACTTCGTTTTCATCGATAAAAATGTACTTTTTTGATTTTTTTTCGCTTAAAAATCCAAAAATCGACTTTGCAACGTTTAAAAATGAACAGAAAAAATCTTCGAAAATTTTTGACACTACCAAATTTTAGGATTTTTTGTGACGAATCCAACCGTATAAATAAGTATATGCTTTAAAATTATTTTCATTCATAAAAATGCAAATTTTCGTTTTTTTTGGCTGAATTTGACGAAAAATCTCGAAAACGAGATGTTTTCGAAAAAAAATCGTTTTTTTTTAAAACGATGTTTTAGGACCAAAATCACAACGTCATTCAATTTTACAGCAAAAAATACAAAAAAAATGTTGCAGCCGGATTTTTTAAAAACACTTTCTCTCAAAAAGGGCGCGTTTTCGAGATTTTTCGTCAAATTCAGCCAAAAAAAATCGAAAATTTGCATTTTTATGAATGAAAATAATTTTAAAGCATATACTAATTTATACGGTTGGATTTGTCACAAAAAATCCTAAATTTTGGTAGTGTCAAAAATTTTCAAAGATTTTTTCTGTTCATTTTTAAACGTTGCAAAGTCGATTTTTGGATTTTTAAGCGAAAAAAAAATCAAAAAAGTACATTTTTATCGATGAAAACGAAGTCTATGAGTAAAACTGACTACGGCATTCAATTCTACAGACAAAAATACGTAAGAAAATGTATTGTCGATATTATTTTTATTCTCGAAACACAGTTCGAAATAAATTGAATAGTTGACCGACTTTGCTCCTATTTTGGACCACGTTTTTAAACTTTAAAAATCGATCGACACCGGTTCCCGACACTTTTTTTAGGTTCTGAACCCCCCTTTCTTTTCGTAAAGACTTGAAGTTTTAGAATCACCATGACGTATACGCGATTTTGAACATTTTTGCAAAAGCGAACCACCCTAATATATAGCCACACCTCTGCCTTCATGCCCAATTCGATCGTGATGGTATAAATTATACCCGGTAGTTGAAAGACCAGTATTTGTCATGGAGTCGAAGAAAGTCTGAGTGACAGCAATGACGTGAAAATTGGTGTGAGAAGGTAGGATTTCAAGCGATAAAAAGTTTGTCGATGGAATTCTATTTATATTGATTAAGCCAATGGAAAGTTGATGTGAATTAATACGTGGAGTAATAAGTGCGCCTGCGTCTTTTCATAATGAAGAGAAATTTCTGGGATTAGATCGAGGGACAAGGTTGGGCTGTAGAGAAACTAGATCACTGCCAGAGGTAATAAGAAACGGCTGCTGCTCGCGTGATTTGCGCATAAAAATATGCAAGCCTTGAAGAAAAGGACGCGCGTAGTTTAATTCACGCGCCTTGGCAATACAGGTGCGCCATAGTCTATAAGTTGGTTTCTCGCTTCCTTCTCTCCTCAACGACTCTCGCGGTTCATCGAGCACGACCTCGTTGGTGACTACG